TATATATATATATATATATATATAACCAAAAAATTAAAGCATAGTTTTAATAAACCCAGTTGTACATCTAGACAAAAAAAGTTGCATACATGTTGGAAACTTTCGGTGGAATTGGATTCTCAATGATGATTAAACAATTAGATGATGGAGTCATTATGGATAAAACCGTCACTTTTACATGTTTAAGTTAATTAAAGATTAAATTAAGTATAAAAGACCATTTGAAACAGATCCAAGTTAAAGTTAAAGTATTGTTATTTTATACAAAATAGTGTAAAAAATATAACATCTTAATTTCAACAAAAATAATAGCAATAAAATGGTGTTAAATAAACCACAAATAAATAACCGTAAACCCGTAGACATCAAGTGCGTTATAATCACTAGTTGCACATGAAGTTTTTAAACAGTGTTTTTATTAGGATGTTTGGATAAATTAGTTTATAGCTTATTATCTTATAGCGGTGTGAGAAAGCAACATTTGCAAAAGTGTTTGAATTAAAAATCAGCTATAAGCTATAAGCAAGGGGGGGGGGGGGGTGCTTTTTAAAATTAGTTTATTTAACTTATCCCCACCACAATAAGTCGTTTATCCCCACCACAATAAACTGATTTTTAATGTTTCCTATCCAAACACTTAAATTTAGCTTATAGCGATGGAGATAAGCAATAAGCTATAAACACTCTTTTTTTTCCCTATCAAAACACCCTCTTAGTATAAAGCGAATGTGGTGTACACTTAACACAGATTGTATAGTTTGGCCAATGATCTTCCTTGATATTATTTAGAAATGTAATTATTAGATTTGGAAATCAACTAGAAAGTCCGTAATAATCATGGTATGCAAGCGATGCTAAAATCTCGATATTCACTCTATTCTCTCTCCCATCTCTTATTCGCGGTGCTGCCACCGCTACATCATCCTCAGATTTCTTCCCCTTGGTTTCTTTATATTTCTCATCATGGTTGGTGATCAACCTACTACACCGCAGTAGGCTTTCATAGTTACAAACATTAAGTCCTAGATACCTCTTGTTCTTGATTTGGAACGACTAAACTACAACTCTTGACGTGAATTACTCTATACTCGAGATGGCGATCGATTTCACCATCCTCAAGCTCTCCTTCAAATTGTTCTCAATAGAGACTGCATGGCCCTTCAAGTATGGGTAAACCTAGAAAAAATATTTGTGATTATAAATATAACTGACCTTCTTGAAAATAGTAAGATACACAATATAAACTTAATAGCTAGATACACAATCTCTCCACAAATGATCTTTCTGTCACAGGCTACTGCTAAAAAATCAAAGATAAAACCGACCTTCTTGAAAAACTCGATCTGGAATCCAAGTCCCGAACGAACATCTTGTCATCTACATTACTAAAGAACTCTCCCCCATTTTGACTACCTGGATAGTATTATTAGGCATTGATTAACCTTTCCTACCTCCATGGAAACTAGAACGAATCATGCATTCTCTCCTAACATCGACACTGCATGCACCGTACATATCATTTTTTTGTCCAACCATTCTCAACACTAGCTCAAATGATTCTTCATGTGGAAACAACCATCACAACAACCGCTAACCGCCACCAAACTGCCGCCGATAGCCGCCAAATATGGAAGAAAATAGTTACGTACGAGCCATCCTCACAACTAATTTACATCCTGCCCAGGTTAGCAACATATGTTGGAAATATGACCATTTTTGCAACAAGTTAGCGACCTTCTATAATTAACAGAGTCATTTTGTGTGTATTTTAGGTTACACACAAGATAAGATTTAAGCTTAAGATGACAAAAGATAGATTAGAGGGACTAGTTTGTTAATTTATCATGAGATCGTCTTAACTCTAATTATCCTTAATTCAAATAAGGGATTTGTATACCAATAAATGTGTGATAATGTATACACATTTAACCCTAGCCATCACTAGGTGTAGAACTGACCCTTTTTCCATTCTGTTCCTCTCTTGGTCTCAACAATTTCCCATTCATTATTTAGGGTTTGGTTTTGGCCATCAAAGAAAATAAAAGTTAGGTCTTATTGCTTGCTGATTGTCTTGTCATGCGATTACATTAAATGAGTTCTGGTTTGGGATCTCCCTTATCCAAGACAAGCAAAGGATTCGATTACAAAGAAAGGTACTTGATTCTTGATTATATTCTCCATTTCTCGTTATTTTATAGTTGCGAGGAATCACTGAATCTTTGATCTTGATGGATTATGGTTTTTTCATG